TTTTTTTTTTTTTTTTTTTTTTTTTTTTTGTATTATCACTGATTATTCTCGAATTTAGATCAAAAAACAAAAGCAGTAACAAGAAACGGTAGAATATTTTCATCTATCAACCAGGTTTGTATCTGCATAAACAGTGTATTCATCAATCGTTTCCGTGACAAATTCATTTCCTCCAAAATCATCAGCAACAACAACAACAGCAGCAGCAGTTTCTGCATACGAATATGTTTTCAATAATCTTCTTTTTTTTTTAGCCTATCTTAGTATTAAGCAAAAAAAAAAAAAGACAATATTAAGAAACCTATCAATAGGTAATCATCAAACGCTGTACAGAAGGAAAACGAAATTCTTTTTTTCTTTCTATGGCTTATTTTTATTTCTTATTTTAGAAGGCTAAATATCGGTTTTCTGTCTATTTTTTTTTCAATTATCATGTAATATACACCATAGTGATCATTGAAAAAAATGTTGACCGTTGCGTAGACCTGAAAAATTTTACTGAATATTTGTTTTTTTTCACCGATGTCCTATCAGTCTTAATTTTATTGTGCTACCATTTTCATCTCTTTTTTATCCTTTCCACTTCTCGTCTTTTCTGTCTTTTTTTTTTTTTTGTGCGAACGTAAATGGGCAATCGTTTTACGTTGATAAGAAGATGCATATTTTGTCGTTGATTTTTAGAAACACAATTTTTTTTTTGTTCAAAAATACATCAATTTTTTTCATGCAATTTCATTGAAATCATTCGTTGACACAATTTTGGCAAGAAATTCATCTGACTTATCTTCAAACAGTTAATAGAATTTGGCTTAAAAAATTTATTCAAATCATTTTCAACAATTTATAAAATTTGACAATACAGTTAAAGGATTGAACAGATGATTAGATTTTTTGTCCAAAAAATCAGTGAATTTGGTCTTAAATGTTGCCAAAATGTTAAGAGAAAAAAGCCTACATTTTAGCACATATATAATTTAGTATCTGCACATTTGTACAGCTTTTTTTTTTTTTTTTATCTAAGCAGATTTTATTGATCATCTTTCTTTTCTTTGATAGTATATCCTATTCCTTTATTTTTACAGTTTACGACACTGTTTGACCGTCCTTAACTACCATTAAAAGAAATGACTTTTAGACAATTTAAATGGAGCAGTGTTTTAGAAATAAAATGGTTATAAAACCAAAAATAAAACAAAAATTTGAAATTTTCTTTTTTTTTTCTTTCTACAAATGTCTGCTCTTTTTTTGGTAAATTTTCAAGCATTTTTAGCTTAGAATGTTACGCTGATAGTTTTGTGCTTTTCACAGCACCAAAGTGAGCAGTCTAATGAGATCATAAAGAAAACGATCAAAGCTTTTTGTCGTTCTCATAACAACTTTCAGTTTCAACTTTCTTTGGTTGCTAGCGGTGAGGTGTGATAATCAAATAGGTGATTCTATAGTTAGAAAAGGCGCAAAAATCAAAAAACTTTTTGTCGTTCTAGCAACAGTTTTAGTATTTCAATAACCCAGAATTTATCTCTAGAACTTGTTGGAAAAGCCAAATTTATATCAACCACTTCGTGAACATTGTGCTCAAAAACGTGCCAATATTTTGTCGCCTTCTGCTTTCCTCGTAAAATTATAGAAAAAATTGTTTACCCAAAAATTTTTTAAAAAATTTTAATCTGCAGCATGCTGATAACATCTATAAATTCATCATTTTTTACAGCTTAAAGATTTTTAATGAAAAAATCAAATGTCTTCGGAAGAGTGCAATAAAATTTAACTGTATAGTTCCACTGCTCACAGTAATACGCATCTAAGTGATAGCAGTTTTTCGCTTTTCCTTAAAACTATAAAGCTTTCAATTAGTTGCATTTACAGCGAATAAACAGATGAAAAAAAATTTTGCTATAAGAAATGTGCTGTCAGTCAAAACAAATCAAAATTTGTTCCAATCAAAAAAA